ACTCAATAACTAGGATCTACTTCGGGCGGAACTTGTGTAGTACTATCCCTTCGGTTTTTAAACACCTTTCTCTTCGCTTCAATTCCTAGTCCGCCGCCGATTAGGTTCCAAGACTTTGATGCCCATATTGAGTATCTAAAATCGGACGCCGTCGTATTGGATGAATTTCAGGTAGGTGGCAGTTAACTTCAATGGCGTACATTTAATGCACAACGAAGCGATAATTGTAAACCAACGCTGTGAATTGTACCTTCTTCAGCTTTCTCTATTCCATTAACTTATAGAGGCTTGAGGATCTTACAAGGCAACAGGATGTTGACTATGGACTGACGTCCTTCATTGCTGAAGTGGAGCCAAATCTGAACCGGTACAAGGACATGCCGCCCTGTAAGTTAACTTATTGGTTTGACTTCGGCAATTTTATGCATTCTGCTTGATCTGCTCGCAGCAGACAGTGACTTCATGTGTGGTAGTGACCTTACTTTCAGTAGGAAAGGAGGGAGAAAGTCAATTAAAAACATTTGAAGAGCCGCCGACGGAGATGAAGGGACGTGGAGGAGGGGTGAATAAATGTAAAATACAAAGAAAGTTGAAAGCTATTAATAGAAGGATCTATTTGAGTATGTAGAAAGACAGAGATCAAAGTAGACAAAGTTGCAATGATATCTTAAGGGAGAGTGAACAAGTAGAGGAAGGAAGAAAGCAAAATAGAAAGAAGAACCAAATAACAGTTTTGAAATCATCATTTACCTCCACATGTCTATAAGGGCCTCTTTTGCATTAGGCAAATCAATAATCACTGGCTGTCACTATGTCTGTCCTATTGTTCTCTTCCTCAATTTGCCTCCCCTTACCAGATGATCAGAGTATCGTTCGTCTGGACCGCGACTGGAACGAGTACCGGAATGATCAACAGCCCATCGGACCTCGGGTACGCGTCTTTGTCCACACAGTTGCAAATGGCATCTATTAGTTGTCCTGGCTGTCAGCGTCCATTCTCCTGTAGTTTTTTATTTATTTTGGTTCTCTCGCATGCTTTGAAACCTTCACCTTCGTTTTATATATGGCAGTCTGTTGCATACTGGCTTTCGATAGTATCACTCATCTAGGTTCTATCTAAACCCACCTCTTCAAGCCTGCATTATGGCGGAACATAGCGTTTGCATTTCATCGCTTCCAACTCCCTCCTTCTTTTTCCCTAAACATCCCTTCACGCTAAAATTTCTGCAACGCTTCTAGATAAGCAAAGTGCAGGCAGTATACGTGAATGCTAACTACGTGAAGGCCTGCGACTACGATGTCATGGGACGGGCGCAGGTTGCGTCGAGGACCAGCCTACCAGAGTACATCGCCACTCAGGGTCCGCTCACGCACACTGAAGCCGACTTCCTCTACATGGTACATCAACAACGCTGCCCAGTAGTCATTATGCTCTGCAAGTATGTTAGACCTTCTTTCCACACCAAATTCTAACGGTTTTAACAGGCTTTACCAAGTGCAGTTGTTAATTTTTGTTTTTTCCCTGATTTCAAAATTTTAAGGATCATCTATGATAGTGATCGTCGGGCATTCATTCGCATCATACGAAGTGGACAGGAAAACTGATAAATAAGTTGATCTAGACCATCACACGTTGAGGAAAATTGAGTTTACCGCTAACTTCTGGCACCTAAGTGTGATAGAACATGACGGATTGGAGGGTGTGAGGTTGACGCGCCAGTGAAAGTATTGTAGGTTTAATTTCTATGCTAACCATGAGAATGCAGTGAGAAAGCTAATCTTAGTGCAACCATTTAAAATTGGATGGCCAGTCATGAGGCAGGCACAGTTTCCTCTGTGGGTTGAATGTTTCCAGTAGGGATGAGATATCGCACCTATGCTCTTCTAGTGTGTGTCTCTTCACACTTTCAGCGTTTGTGTTCTTCAGCAGCCCTTGGTTAACATAGCCCCGGAGCCCTCCCAGAATGAGCCTTTTGTAAGAGGTTTACCATCTGCATGGCCAGCAACTCTTCGTGATTTCCCCGATTGGTGATCGGTATTGTCGTTTGAGTGTGCATGCCTAGCGTGGGCCTCGAACGTGGGAGCGAACGAACATGTAAAGTTGTGGCTAAGCGCTGCATAATTCCCGTCCTCCTATTTGGATTCGTCACTGACGGTGCTTTATGCAGTACCACCTGTGCCCTGCGGACGTGTGCATTACTCCGTAATAGTATGTGCCTGAATTATGCTGCTAGAGCAATAGGCAGCCCTTACCGTCAGAGAAATGTCAATTTCAAATCAAATGTCCTTAAATAACTGTACGAAAGAAGGTATTATCAAAATCTAAAAATTAACCGCAAAAGCTTACTGCTCCTCGGCACCACAGTTCTGGACATTATATGGTTTCTTTTAAGAAACGCCAGTTAAATGAATATTTAATGAATATTTATTGATCGTTTTGCCAGATTCCGACAGTTTCGACATTGAGTGATGGGTTGAACCAGGAACTCTCACAGGAGACCACATCTGAAGATGGACTCCTGTAAGAGTCAAAAGTTCAGGACAGTGAACCAATTGATTTGGTGTTTGAAAAATGTTCTTCCTTGTCCGTTTAAATACCTGGAACGCTAAATTTGTCATTCATTCGGGAGTGATGGGTTGGCTAGTTATCCCTCCTGATACCTGAGTCGTCCGTTAAAGTCAGTGTTCTCCTGCCTGATAACTACTTTCAGACTTCTTACTGCCGGTTGCTCATAAAAGGGGGTATGTGAGTTTGGCAAAAGTAGCTTATGTAGGCCCACTCATATACCCGTAATTCCGGCATTTTGTCCTGTAAAAACGGTGGTTATAGAGTTTGATGGGGTTGGGAAATAAGATTGGCAGAGAAGGAAATTTTAAAAAGTAAGTGTAAAGTGAAAGCAAATCTAGTCCCGCGGCCGCTGGGAGCATGTTGTTCCGCATGTAAATTGGGAATGTGGGCGGTGCTTCACGCCGCGGACTTTGCCTATCTAACTAAAGACCGGTAAGTTGGACCTCAAGTAAGTTGAAGTAGACGACCTTCTAGCCACTATTTCAATTTTTCTTAAAATTCAAGAAACCTGCAATTTGATAATCGGGTTTCACCACAATAAGTTAAATAATAATGCAGATTAGGAAAATCTACAGATATAAATCAAC